GCAAGGTATGTAGGGCGGAAAGGTAAACAGGAACAGTAAACAGGCGGCGGCGATTTGAAGCCATTTGTAGGCTATTTCTTCATCTTTAGGGTTTTTGGTTTATTCTGCTCTTTTCTTCTTGAGACGTTCAGAAAGTTGAGTCCTCGTCTTTTTTTTTTTTTTTTTGGTTGGTTGGTTTTCTTTTTGTTTGGTGTGGGTTTGGTGGTGGTGGTGGTTGTTTTGGGGGTTGCTGGTTGTTGTTTGGGTTTTTTCCTCTTTCCATGGGTATGATGATGATGACTGTGATTTTATTTTTTCCCTGGGCTGACTGCTGGGGAGCGCCTTGATTTCCAAGGCTCGGCAGCCCCTTTGGGATCGGGGTGGGCAGTGCCCTCCCAAGCCCCGTTGCGGGGTTACCGCCTGCTTCTTTCCCTTACGAATAAACCGAGCCATCTCCTTTAAACTTGACACATATATACGTATATATGTGTGTTTGTGGTTTTTTTTTTTTTTGAAATTTGATTTTTCGCAACACCACCACCCCCCCCACACTCCCGTTCCGCACGGTGCGCGTGTGTCCCCCCGGGGTGCCGAGCGCCCCCCAGCCGCCCATCCCGGCGCGGCGGCGGCTGGAGGGCGCTGCCGGGCGCGGCGGCGGCGGCGGATCCGCGGCATTCCCGGCCCGTCCATGGCCGGGCACCGTCGGGCCCCGGCCGGCACCACCTGTGAGGCGGGCGGGGATTGGCGGGCGGCGTCATATGACCCGTCACGTGCTCCGGGCAGCTCAGTCCAAAAGAAAATGGGGTTTGGTGTAAATCTGGGGGTGTAATGTTATCATATATCACGCTACCTCGTAAAACCGACACTGAAGCCTGCCGGACAACAAATCACAGGTCAAAATTATGAGCTCTTCGTATTATGTGAATGCGCTTTTTAGCAAATATACGGCGGGGGCTTCTCTTTTCCAAAATGCGGAGCCTACTTCTTGCTCCTTTGCAAGCAACTCCCAGAGAAGCGGCTATGGACCAGGCGCGGGTGCCTTCGCCTCCTCCATGCCCGGCTTGTACAATGTGAACAGTACCATATATCAAAGCCCGTTCTCTTCCGGATACAGCCTGGGCTCTGATGCCTACAACCTGCATTGTTCCTCTTTTGATCAGAACATTCCCGTCCTCTGCAATGAGCTAACCAAACCCAGCTGTGAGAAAGCGGAGGAAAGCAACCTGCACAACCAGGCTGAGCCTAATTTCCGGATATACCCCTGGATGAGGTCTTCAGGTAGGGGCGAGCGGAGAGGGCTCGGAGCTGTGGCAGCCAGGCAAAGCGTGTCGCCAGGATTACTGTCAGCACAGCCTTTATGGTTTTAATTATAGCCGAGGCGCCATTGCGTAGAAAGCCCGTGGCATTGTATGTAAATGAGTATCATAAAACTTTTTATTGCCCAATTAATGGGTTCTAGCCTCGTAAATTTATTTAACTCCATTTGCTATGGAATTTTAGCATTGAGTTGATTTGCGCTGTTTGCTATGGAAAAGCGGAGAGTTGGCTGCGGGCTCCCAGAGCCCCCACGGGTAAGCGTCTCCCCTGCCCTCTTGTCGAAGTTGGGAAAAAAAATCCCGCTCGCTGGGGAAGGCGGAGGGGACAGGGGCGTTTAGGACCGGGGGACGGGCTGCTGAGGACTTTGCCAGCCCCCGTTCCCGAGACGTGCCACTCTTGTCCCCCCTGCCCTTTCCACGGAGATAAGGATCTATAGAAATGTACTGAACAGGAAAAGGGGGTGGGGGTGTGTGTGTTAGGGTACGAGAGTGTGTGTGAAAAAGGAGAGCTCTCTTCTGGAGCTAAATGCGATGTATTGTTTACGATCCAGGAGGGGTGGGGGTAGCCCCCGACATTAAAATAAAATAAATGCAGCCCAGCCTTCCAACTTTTTATTTCCCTTTGCGGAACGTGAAAGTCTGGAAGGTTTTAGGGAAATACATCGCCTGGGGGGAAAGTTCCTCCTCCCAAAAGCAATTTCCTCCCCCACCTCCACTCCTGAATGCTTTCTCTCCACTTTTTCTGGGTCTCGAGCAACTTCTTTTTTGCCCTGCCTGAGCAGGGCAGGTCGTGTGGCTGAAATGTCTTTGTTAGGGCAAAGTGGGGGGGCGGGTGGAAGTCAAAGAGGGTGATCGTTCACTGTAGCTCGGCTGCTTTTGTTTGTTTATTTATTTATTAAAAATAATAACAAGAAAAATAAAAACAGAAGGCTTTCCAGCTTTCTTCTTGTCTAACTTCTGGAAGCATGTGTGCCTGTTTTCAGGTCCCGATAGGAAGCGAGGGCGCCAGACCTACACCCGCTACCAGACCCTGGAGCTGGAGAAGGAATTCCACTTCAATCGTTATCTGACTCGGCGGCGAAGAATAGAGATCGCCCATGCCCTCTGCCTGACAGAGAGGCAGATCAAAATCTGGTTCCAAAACCGGAGGATGAAGTGGAAGAAGGAGCACAAGGAGGAGAGCTCCAGCACCCCGGCTCCCAACGAGCCCACGTCAGCAGCAGCCTCTGTCGAGAAAGTGGAAGAAGACGAAGAGGAGGAGGACTAAGGAGTCCCACTCGAGGAAGTGATCCCTTAGAATAGTGTATGCACATGACATTTGGAAAAGCTCCCTTTTAAGGAAAAAAAGAGAGAGACTCATTGTTTTTATTAAAAAACAACAAAGCAAAACATCCAGTTCCCTTTAATAATCATATTGCAAGCGAGTATTTGCAAACATGAAAACATTTCTTGGGATGGCTTTCCAGCCTTCTCTCCATTCTCCCGTACTCCCCAAATCTGTCCTATGCCGAACCTTTCGGTAGAATACCCTAAGAGCATCCTACAAGCATTTGAGTTCAGTTGTTTCGTGTTTTTTTTTTTTTTTTTTTTTTTTTTTTTTTCATTTACCCAAAACTGGGTGGGTTTCTCCAGGGGACATTTCAGTGGGAGAACTGCTACTTGCACAGATAGTAAACCGTGACCTTCCGAAGTAACTACCTGACTCAATAGTCTCAATCATGTGTAAGGGGAAAAGTGCATTAGGCTCACACTAAGAAAAACTACCTAATTTTGAAAAAGTAGCTCTGCACTTCTCTTTTTGTTTGTTTGGGTTTTTTAAACTGTTGTTAGGAAAGTATCTAACTAACAGCTACATTAACAAAAGGTTAAACATCAAGTGTGTGGGGGGAAAATGTTCCACAAACCACTACAATCTACAGCAGTTATTTGTACTACCTATTTTCCAGACTACCTACCTATATATCTTGCTCTGCCTACCTATCTTCGAAAGTATACTGTATTTTAGTAGTCAAAAGGATGTTACAAGATTACTAATGTGAATCGCAAAATGCTTTTAGAAATGTAAGTGTAGTCATTTGAAAAGCACGCATCAATAGCTTTGGTATAGAATTTGGTATCAAAAAGTCTGAAAATATTTAAATTTAAAATAATATATTTATTCCTAAGCAATTATAAATGAAAACCATATGCTGCAATATATCTTTGTTCACGATTCTTTACTATTCCGAGTGAGGAAACAAACACACACCGATATTGTACAAAGCGGTTTAACATCTCCCGTTGGTTTCTACCTTCGGCTGCATCTGCTAAAGGCCATTTTCTTATTCTAGGCTGATCTTAATATAGCGGAAAGTGTTCTTTGATCCTTTAAAAACCACCTTTAAATAAAAAAAAACCCACAAAATATTAGTCCTGATTATCCAAACATGTTAATATGTAATAACGTGAATTTTCTTAAAATAGCAGATATTGTATTTTTTTTTGTCATTTATATTCGTCTTGGAGCTCATTTGTAAGATCATGTCATAAATTTGAAAGTATGTAATTAATTTGGAAACTTTGTAGCATGATGTATTGTTAAGAACTCTGTATAAATCCGTCTTGAAGGTTTGGCTAAAGTTTATTCAAAAATTGTATGTTACAATGTGTTTCGACGTGTTCGTTGTGAACATTTGGATATGCCGTGTAAGTATTGGAAGTGGGAAAAAAATGTCTGTGAACTCTCTTTGGAAGTGATACCGTGTTCAATTATCTCCCACGATAAATGTGTTTTATGTTACACAGAAAATAAATATGCTTGTTGACAATGAATTGCATTTCTTTATTAAGGAACCAGTTCAAAGGAAGATTAAAAAATTTATTTACATAGACAAATAAAGAAATTAATCCATCTAAGCCTTTTTTTTTTCCTCCCGATAATCAGGAGGGGGAAAAAATCCAAGGTGATAAATTGACACAAATTAGTCCGTTTCTCTATTTTTTTCCCTAGCGCAGTTGATTAATAAAGCGGAAAGCCTTCTTTATGGGAGGGCTTCCTTCTACCGTGTTCCCGTGTCCTCTTGCAGTCATAACCCCAGTCCAGGCGATCGGCGATAAAGCCGAAATCGCATACAGTGAAAGAATATTTCGTAATGAACAGAAAGTGCAATGCAAAACTTCCAAGCGTAAATGATCTGGCCGGGTATGTGTGTTGTTTGTTCATGCGGCTTTCGGGGGACGGGGGGCATCACGGTGGCAAGAAAATGGGGGAAAATGCCCCTGCTTTAGGTACCACGTAATGTCAATGAGATCTAATATTTTCAATATTTAAAAAAAAAAAAAATTAAAATCTAGCCGAAAAGTCCCTTTATTCGTCCAGATAAATACGAGTAGAAGCAGAGCATCATTTGCGCTGAAGTTCTCTTTTTTCTACTACGCTCCATTCCTGGTCAATGTACTAATTGTAATTTTAATAAAATTAGTACAAAGTCCAGGTCTTTTAAAAAACTCTAGGGCTGCCTCTTCGGTAAGATGGCGCCTCTCTAAGACCTGCCTCTTCTTAGTGATGAGGAAAAGGCCATAAATCCGTTGTTGTTTATGAAAATTTACAACTTTGCAATACAACTTTATGAGTTGTTCGGTTTTTCCATTGGTCGTTGTCGGTCATGTGGATGGTAACCGTGAACATGAACTTTTTTATAATTTCCCTTGCGAGAATAGAGCCGCATTCTTTTGCTGAGCTCTGTCCTGCTTCGGATCTCTCTGGCTTTCAATCCCCATTTCATTTGTTCTTTGTAAGGCAATAGTGAACAAAGTGTGCGGAGGTTCGGCATAAGCAGCCGCCTAGAACACAGATCCGGGATGGCAATTTCCAGTTCCCCCGCTGGAAGGTGTGGCATATTGGATTCAAAGCACTGGCGTGGCAGATTTTCAACTTGCAACCTGGCTAATTTCCTGCTTCTTCTGGCACCAAAAGGAGGGCGATTCGTCTCCTGTGCAGCCAAAGCGACAGCTGTCAAAGTCGCAGGGGCTCCTGTGAGCCAGAACCTAAAAGGTGAGAAATGCATATGACACTACCGTAAGCAGGGGAAAATGGTTTAATACGTTTAAATATTAGACATGTGTAATTAAAGCAAATGGAAATGTTACCGGCCAAAAATAGAGGTGGCTGCAGCTTAGTTGATTTTGACTTAGCCAGTGCATGCAAAAATACTCCTTAATAAAATGTCTGTTTTCTATGATTTAGCAAGGAAGCTGTGGATTTTTTTTTTTTTTTCATGAAGTTGATTTCTGTTTGCATTAGCCAGGGGGTTTATTGTGACGTTCAGATTGTTTTGCAATAATTCAGTTTACAGCATCAATGGAGGGTTTTTTTTCCCAGCAGGAGGAAAAAAATACTAATATCCCCAAACATTTTTTAATTAATTCGCATCATTAAATGATTAACTTAAATTTCATTTACGGTAGATGAACTTTAGATATTATTTATTTTTTACTATTTCAGAAAGAAAAAAAAAATCAGTAAATACAATGTCTCCTGGTTTCCCTGCCATGTCCAGGAGAAAGGTTATTTCTAGACGTGAGGAAACAGCGCGATTGTGTCTTAGATTTTCTTTATCAGATCAAGCGCTGCCTGCATAAATCCCGTGGCCCGCCGTGGGTTCGTTCCCGGCGCTTCCCGGCGCGGGCGGCTTGCGCGCCTCGGCTGCGCGGAGCGGGCTTCGCGGCAGCTAAACCCATTTCAGCACCGGAGACGCAGCTTTCCCCCCCCGCCTTCCTCTCCTTGTTGTGACTGTTACGGTGCGGCGCTGGGGCGGGGGAGCGGCGGGCGGCGGGCCGGTGCCCCGCGGTGTGTGCCGGCGGGGGGGAGCGGGGACCTGGGGACTGCGCCCTCGGACCCCCCGCCGCTGCCGCCCGGCTGCACTCCCGCCTCTTCTCGGCGAAGGAGCGGCTCAGAGGCCTTTAAGCGGCTGCCCCGGCTCTGCCTGTGCCGCCGGGCTGATAAAGCACTGCATTTGCATTGCATTGCGGTATCCGCCGGACTGGAGCTGCAGTGAGCGCCGGATTATTTATTGCGGGGCCGCGGGTGCTCAGTGCTGCCACGGCGTGGCGGGATGGCGGAGGCGGGCGCGGAGCGGAGCGGCCTCCGCAGCCCCTGGGAAGGGCAGTACTGACAGCCTGCGCTGCTCGGGGGAGCCCAAATAAAAGACCAAGGGGAAAAAACCCAAAACAAATCAAAACACTACGGGCCTACCTTTTTCTGCGGGAGCATCGGAGCTCACCCCCGGGCAAGATATTCCGGCAGGACCGGCTCTGCCCGCTCCCCCTCCGCTTGTACCTCGGTGTGTGTCAACTGCAAGTTATCACGGTGGGAGCTGGCTGGGGAGGACCCGCCCGCGTCCCCTCGGCCTGGCTCTCTGTACTCCGCCAGTCTAAACAACGGTCCGCCTTGCCCAAACTGTTTGGATTAGGAGCTATTAGTTAAAGGTTGGTTTTGATGACGCTGGCGAGCACGAGAATGATTTGGAAGTGGTTTTATATACGAGGAGAAGGAGGCTTTTAAGCTTAAGAGGGTAACTACCCCCGCACCTGTATCCGAGAGTGGCTGGTGTCGCGGCCGGGTTTTCGGAGGGAGGAGTACGGGAAGTGTTCTGTGAAGGAGGTGCTGAGGGAGAGAGGAGTTACGAAAACAAATAAAAGGGGGGTGAAATACACGGGTGTCGCTAAGTGTGACTTTGTTGCGTTGTCAAAATGCAGCGGCTGGCTTGCCTTCTGCTTTCCAGAATGCGGAGGGGAATGGTGAAGGGAAACGGCTGCGAAATGTGTCTGGGCAGGACATTTCCTCGGCAGACCTGGGGGGTAACAGGTTATTGTAATTCGGGATTTTCTGGGGGTAGGGGGAGGAGCGGAAAGGACGCTTGAATGTGACTGAAGCGGAGATTGCAGTGCAGATCGTTTAACTGTCACTGTAACTACTCTAACACGACTCAGTCAGGCAAACGTTCACATTTCATTCATTTTCATATTATGGGATCAACGGAGAAATATTTTCGCTACCTGCAGTCGGGCTTTCACAACTTGGTTTGGACGCAAGCAATAACTCAAAAAACGGGAAAGAAACAAAATGAAACAGAGGGGGGAAACCAGTCTGTAACCGATGCTATAAAATGTAAATAGAACTAAGCCTGGAGCGATTTTTTATTTTAAAGTTTGTTTTGATCTGTATGATGGATTTAAACAGAAGACCGTCTGGCACAACTTTTTAGAAGTAAGACCGGTGGGTTTTGGTTGTCCTGAGTGTTCTTTTTTCATGGTGCTTTTTCGTTCTAAGTTGGTGAAAATCTGCTCTTTTAAAAACCTCTTAGAATTTGCCTTGTTGTGTGTGCTTGATTGCTAGTGTTTCCTCCTTTTTAAACTCTATTCTCACTGAGTAAAAAAACCTTCTTCTTTTTTTTTTTTTTTTTTTCCCCTCTGGAAAAATCTGTTTGTCAGGAAATATATGTTTCTGAAATGACCTCTCAAAGCATGCAGCTAGTGAGCTGTAATTCTACCAGGTGTGTTTATGGATTGGCTGGGCTGAAGAGGTTAAGGAAGTTAAAAAAAAATTGGAGGCAATCAACATCTGAATGTGAAAGTCCAGCTGAGACTGCAAACAATACAAACTATTGTGGAGCGATGCTTTAGCTCACTACTGTTTTATAGGTATCGTAATCTGCCCCCGGAAATGAGACAAATAGTCTCCCAACAAAAACAAAACTCTCTTTTGAAAGCTGCTTTAGGAAACTGGGCTCGTACGAATGTCACTTTCCGTGATAGAGCACGTTTAAAATTAGGCTATTCGATCTGTTGTAATGGGCACGGATTATGAGTAAACACAGCTTGGAATGAACAACCTCATGTTATCTCCAGGAACTGCACTGTTACGGCTGAATTAAATGCGCATCAGCGAATTTCATCAGCACTGTTACTGTCCGAGCCCTGGGCCAAGAATTATATTTCCGCTATGGAGTAACTGCCATATTGAAAAATGAAGGTGGAAATGTTTGTTTCGTGTATTGTTTTTCTCCTCTTAAAGGCACACATTCGCTTTTAATCAAATTATTCGGACTAACAACCAAACCGATTGGCTTCTGTTGATTCATTAGTAGGGCTGTATTAATTAGGAATAGTCCTACTGGTTCGTTTTTTAATTTGAGTGTTTGATTTCCTCGGCTCAGCTCTGGCCGGAGCGGGGATAGACTTGGGAAAAAGAGATATGCAGAACTTTATCTGGGCTGCCGGGCGGCACTGGGAGACTGCCGAGCTCTTCCCTAGGCCTCCTCGGGCACTTGGTACAAATCAAAAATCCCCCTACCCAAAAGGTCACCACCACGACCTCCGCGTTAGTTATGATGGTGTTCATTAAAATACGAGACCTCTTCCATGCGGGACGGGTTAACCTCTCTCTCAAAAGCTGGATTCGGCACTGGGGCAGTCTCCCTGAGCTCCGAAGGGAAGCCTCAGTAGAGGGGCAATTTTCGACTGAATGGATAAATAATTAAGTTTTAAAATCCCCTAAAAATTCTTGGATGTGGTTGGGGCATGGCGATGGTAAAGTGGAGAGAGGCCGCCCCCCCCCTCCACCCCTCACGCTGCGTGGCGCTCCGCTCCCCCTTTCACGTGCTCCCTCCTCTCTAAAGTTTCCCTCCGCAGCATCCTCCACTGCCGTCTCCTTCCTTCGCTCTCTCCTCCTTCTCTCCGCCGGAGAGCCGCGGGCGGTTCGCCCACCCTGCCTGTGGGGCTGCCCGGCTGCCTCGTCGTGGGGCCTCCAACTTTTAAGGGCGACGACCCCCTACACACACCTCCAGCGGCTTTGGGGGAGGGGGACGGGGGGGCGGGGGAGGTTTCCCCATTAGGCGCTGTCACACTGCCGGCGCTGCCGGGAATTATCGCTATTATTGTTGTTATTATCAGTGGATTATTTTTCCCGCGGAGGGGCGGCGCCGCCCCGGGGGCGCGGCCGGTGGCCGCGGCGCGGCGCGGTGCGGTGCGGGGCGGCGCGGTGCGGTGCGGGGCGGCGCGGCGGGGCCGGGGCTGCCGGTAAGTTGGCGGCGCGGTGGCGGCGGCCCCGGGGGAGCGGGCGCCGCGCGCGCTCCCATTGGCCGCCCCGCCGTCAGCTGCTCCTATTTTCTGCTGTCGCTTTTGGCGCTCGGCCATCCAGAAACAAACCACTTCGATGACTCCTAATAGTTATCGCCAGATGTACTAATACACAACAAATCACGGTCCGAGAGAGGGGGAGAGCAAATGAGTTCCTATTTCGTGAATCCCACTTTCCCGGGGAGCCTGCCCGGGGGCCAGGACTCCTTCCTTGGCCAGATCCCCCTGTACCCGGCGGGCTATGATGCTCTCAGGCATTTTCCAGCTTCTTACGGGGCAAGCAGCCTGCAGGACAAGACTTACACCTCACCCTGTTTCTACCAACAGTCCAATACCGTCATTGCTTGCAATCGGGCTTCCTATGAGTACGGAACCTCTTGTTTTTATTCGGACAAGGACATTAGTAGCGCCTCTCCCTCCAGCAGTGGCAAACAGAGAGGGCCTGGGGACTACCTGCACTTTTCTCCCGATCAACAGTACAAATCCAGCGGCGGCCAAGCCAAAATTATAAATGACGAAGGTACCGACCGGAAGTACACGAGCCCTGTTTACCCCTGGATGCAGAGGATGAACTCTTGTGCTGGTAAGGCATCTCGATGCAATCAAGGGCGGGGGGGTTGGGAGGGAGGGAAAGGAAAAGTTTCATTTCTTTTTTTTTTCTTTTTTTTTTTCCTCCCTTTATTTTATTTGTTTGTTCTTAGATAAAGTCCAGACTGCTGGAGAAACAGGGTTCCTACAGGGCAATATGTAACATGAAACCTTCCCAGGTTATTTTAGACCTGGCACGTTGGCACCCTCGGAACGGTGTCTGAGATCCCAGTTTGTAGGTTCACTTGAGAAAGTTACCGGGGAATCCTTAGAAGTGGGGAGGGGGGGAAAGAATAAAAGAAAAAAAAAATAAAAGAGATAAAAACCAACAGAGCAGTTTTACCACTCTCTTAAAGCCATCCCAAAACCTCTGCTCTGCTGCTTCATTGTCAGAGAGAGGTGCAGGGAATATACCCTCTGTACTGAGGATCCAATGCATTTGTGGCACATTCCTCCTCGCCCCCCCTCCACCAGCTCATTAGCCTGTGAGTATTGGATATTGAGAGCACGTTTCTGGGGCCGTGGGTGCACTTCTATGGCATTGCGATTTTTTTTTTTCCTGACTCTAAGAGTAAACTTCACATAATTGAACGATTGTGTACAGGAGTGGTGCTGGGGGCTGGGGGTGCGTTGGGACTGTTGTATTGGAGTGTCATGTATTTTTTATAATCCCATATGAAGACGTTTACTTTCAGTGTTTGCTAACGACTCCCCTCTTCTCCCATCCTCCCGAGTTTACGTTTGCTGAAAGGGAGATCTCATTTCTTTTTTTTGAAAAGTTAAACTTTTAGCAAGACCGTTCTGATGCTACTTTGCATTCGAGAGCCATAAATTCTAGAGCAAATGGCAAAACGCTCTTCTATGATCTTTAACTGATGTCTATGATCATACTTAAATTAGAGACACTCTGTAGTCACAGCCGTGGCAATGGCTGCGTGTTTGTTTCAACACACCCGCATGTGCGTGCACACACACACACACGCACACACAGACACATGAGGCTTCCCGGGCAGCACACGTGTGCGTGAGCCTGTGTGTGTGTGCGCGCACAGGCTGCCAACGCGCAGGGAGCAGACGCTGCTCAGCGATTCACACGGGTGTTACCTACTGCGCTTCCCCTAGGTCTACCCTAAAGCCTCTTTGTATTCCACTTACCCCACTACCGTAAGCACATTGCACATCCGCATTTACAAATAGGCAGGCAGGAGAAAAGGAAAAGAGGGGAAAAAAAAAAAAAAAAAAAGCCTCCAGGAAACCAGAGCAGCTTCGCCCCCCTCCCCGTCATTGTGCCTGCAAAAGGAGGCAGAATATACTAATCGTTCTTTCTGGTCTGAAATCACTGGGCCCTGTCCAATGCGATCGTTTTGTCTTTACTTCTACAGGTACAGTATATGGAACACATGGGAGACGAGGGAGGCAAACTTACACCAGATACCAAACGCTAGAGTTAGAGAAGGAATTTCATTTTAACAGATACTTAACCCGAAGACGACGTATTGAGATTGCAAACGCTCTCTGCCTTACTGAACGCCAGATTAAAATATGGTTTCAAAACAGGCGGATGAAATGGAAAAAGGAAAACAAATTCATAAATTCCACACAACCAAGCAGCGAAGAAACAGAGGAAAAGTCAGGGGAGTAGAACCACGTTTAATAAATGCTACCAGGCCTTTCCTTAGCACTTACTACTATTATTATTTACCTTGCGTTCCTTCTGCTACTGAAATCCTATAGGTTTGTCACAGTCTATTAATCCCCAAAAGGCTTGTTTAAAAGATGTGCATTTGCAATCATCTGTGACTTACTTTAATATATGTGGAAGTCTTAGCTTTTGAGCTACAGGCATGTATGTATATAATCACCTTTCCAAAGCATATATGGCGTTGCCTAAAGTATTAGAGAATTGGCCCAGAATTTTAAATATTTGAGGTGAGCATCTGTGTGTGGGTGACTGTGCCTGGTGTGCTTGTGTAAAGAAAGATAAGGATTTTTTTTTTTTTTTAAATTAGAAATGTTCTTACTGTAGAAAGACAGGAGATTTTAGAAAATATCGTATTTATGGTTTTGCTAGCTCCCGCTAAGTCGGACCATCTCATTATGCTGTGTTTGGGAGTTTATGATCTGCAGGGGGAAAAAAAGTTTTAGTTATGTGTAAGATATTTAAATAGCAAAAGGAAGAAAAGTCCTTTAAAAAAATCGTTGTACAAATCCCTGTATATAAATCTGAAGTTAAAGTGAAGATGAATTGCAGGGAGATTTTTTAAAATACCCCTAAACTGCTTAATCTGCACTACCAGTATTAAAGCAAAAACTCGGCACGAAACTTCAGGGGAAGCGAGGGAAGAGGTTTTAAAGCGGGAAAATCTCTGTGGTTCCCGTTGAGCTTACATTGAGGTTTCAGTGAGCTCAGCTCTACACTGAAGGGGCTTTGAATTACGGACTACATTTCTTGGGGCTTCATGGGCTTCGATCCATCTGGTTTTCCTTTTTTTTTTAATCTTTCTTTTTTCTTACTTACTTATTTATTTAAAGAAAAAGTCTTAATAACTCGGGGATATTTTCCTCTGCTTTTGTGGTATCTTAACGCACATTCTCATTTCTCAGCACTGGAAAAAATAAATTGATATTCTGTAGAAAAATACCTGCCATAAAATGCTTCCACTTCTGTATAAGTAAAATAAGCTCAGCGGAAATATTGATTAATATATACGTTATATGTCTCTATATTATATTGCGTGTGTATGAGTATGTGTGTGAAACTGTGTCCAAATGCACTTGTATAGTCATCGAGGCTCTTTTGTTTGGAAGGCAGCACAGTTTGGGCTACTGCTCTAAATATATAAAAAGCCAGATCTGAAGAACACCAATGCACAATGGCTACAGCCCCATTTAGAGAGTTATTTTCCTTTCGAGAGGCGATAAAATAACGGCGGCCATAAAGTCGCCTGGAATTTGACCCCCTAGCTGGAAAAACGCTGCACGATATTTATCTTTCATAGGTACCTGCCATTTCACATCGGCAGGACCCGGCTAAAGCCTCTCTAAAGCTCCGGCTCGGGAGTAAGTGGGGAGGGGAAATTATATATATCCCTATATATGTAGAAGAGACATAAGCGTTGTCAGCTCCCGAGGACGGATCCTACAGGATTTGTGAACTGGTGTAAATAAGCCTGGCACGGAGGAGAAGGCAAGCACAAAGCTCCCGCCACTCCGAGCTCTCCGGCGGGCGGGTCGGAGGAGCAATCCCCGCCGGCCCCGCGGCCTCTCCGCCGGTCGCTGGTGCCGCTGGCGGCGGCGGCGGCGCCGGGCGCGGTGGCGGCGCGGCCCGCTCCACTCCGCGCCTCTCCGCGCCGCCGTCGGGGGCCGTCACCCCGGGCCGACCCCGCGGAGCCGCCGCCATCCCCCGCGCCACCAGCGGGTGGCGCTGGAGGCCGGCGGACGGGCGGGCGGCGGCGGCGGCGGCGCGCACGGGAGGCGCGCCCCGGGCCGCCCGCGCCCTCCCAGCTCCCCCACCAGTGCACGAGTTTACCTCTAGAGGTCATCAGGCAGGATTTACGACTGGACAACAAAAGCACGTGATGTGAAGCCGTACCCCATATTTGGGTGCCTACGTAGGAGGGAACCAAGTACATGTCCCAGTCATTTCCATAATTCATCATAAATTGTGCAAGGGTGCTATAGACGCACAAAACGACCAAGAGCCACAAATCAAGCACACATATCAAAAAACAAATGAGCTCTTATTTTGTAAACTCATTTTGCGGTCGCTATCCAAATGGCCCGGACTACCAGTTACATAATTATGGAGATCACAGCTCGGTGAGCGAGCAATACAGGGACTCCGCCAGCATGCACTCCGGCAGGTACGGATACGGCTACAATGGCATGGACCTCAGCGTCGGGCGCTCTGCTTCCACCCACTTTGGTGCCAATGAGAGACCCCGCAGTTACCCGGCCAACACCACCTCTGCCTCGACAGAGCCCAGGTACAACCAGCCCGCGACGTCTTCCCACTCGCCTCCCCCTGACCCTCTGCCCTGCACCGCCGTGGCCGGTTCGCCTGTCAGCGAGAGTCACCACGGGGTGAAAAACTCCCTCGCCAACTCCACCAGCACTTCGTCCAATTCCAGCAGCAACACGCACATCAGCAGAGACGGGGTTGGCACCTCGTCTGGGACTGAAGAAGACACTCCAGCAAGCAGCGAGCAGGCAAGTGCCCCGACCGACCAAAGCACAGCCCAGCCTTCACAGCCCCAGATCTACCCTTGGATGCGAAAACTGCACATAAGTCATGGTAAAGCAAATACCCTGTTCTTTCTTTATTTCTCTGGAGGAAAAGGAGGATTTAATGTAAACCGGGTGGCTGCGCCGAGCAAGCTCGGGGAGAGGGGGAGAGGAGGGCGTGAGAGCGGGCAGTCTCCGCGCACACCACAACTCTGCTCGCAGGGAAGCACGCTCCCTTCTCTGGGCGAGTCTCCCCGAAAGGAAAAAAAGATCGCCTGGCCCCCAAAACATAGACCGCCTGGCTCCTAGCGCCGGCGGGGGAGCAGAAGGCGCCTTGCCGAAGGGGAATCGGGAGCAGAGGCTGCTCTCGGCTCTCCTCTGGATGGGGAGATCTTCCAGTGGGAACAGCGCGGCTGACCCCATTTATTTTGCTGAGACATATTAAAGAGAGAATAGGAGAGGGCGAGAAGGGCAGTTTTCAATGCTGGGAAGCCGGGGGGGGGAGGGGGGTGGTGTGGGGAAGGGCGAGTCACCCCAAACTCGGGGGAAGAGGGCTTGAGGGGCGCGGGGAAGTGAGGCAACTTTCAGCCTCGGGTACCTGCCCTGCCCTCGCTACTGGGAGAGCGGCCGGGGGCTCTCTGCCTCCCAGAGCCTTCCCCAGCTCAGCCGTGGGAAAGGGCTGAAAGCTTTGCTCTCCCAGCTCTGAACACCCAGCTAGCAGCAGAGACATCTCCCAAAGTAGCTTATTTGGGGGAGGCATGGGGGGAATTAACCTTCGGGGGGGAGGGGGGAAGAAAGAAAAAAAAGGAAAAAAATTCAATTTTAAAAAATGGAACCACAAATCCAAGCGAAAACTTACTGAGACTACCAAATCCCCCTCCCCCAAGCCTTTCCTAAGAGGGGCTGCAGGGGGAAACTTGTTGAGCGTTTATCCAAAGCAGAAACAAAACAAGGAGGACTGAAAATAACGGTCCTGGTCGCTGGTAGCTGCAATGAGACACGAAGGCTCCGAGTGGCTGCTGAGAATCTAAATCATGTACTTTTCTCTTCCAGACAACATAGGGGGACCAGAAGGGAAAAGGGCTCGGACTGCTTACACCCGCTATCAGACCTTGGAGCTCGAAAAGGAATTTCACTTCAATAGATACCTGACCCGCAGAAGAAGGATTGAAATAGCACATGCTCTTTGCCTCTCAGAGAGACAAATAAAGATCTGGTTCCAAAACAGGAGAATGAAATGGAAAAAGGATAATAAGCTGAAAAGTATGAGCATGGCAGCTGCAGGAGGGGCATTCCGTCCCTAAGCGTTTGATCAATTAAAAGTACTGAGCAGTATTAGCTGACCCTGCGTCGTCTCATGTCAGTACTAAGTTGACTTTCTAAAACTTCCTTGTGTTACTTCTGTGAAGAAACCCTGTTCTTGTCGCCCTTATTCATCTTTTAATCATGAGCCTGTTTATTACCATTCTCTCGCGTGTATAAGTAGATCTGCTTTTATCGTACATTTCTTTGTCTTGAATGGCTTTGTCTTGAAAAAAATAATAGATGTTTTAACTTATTTATATGAAGCGAGCTGTGTTACTTGAAGTAACTGTTAAAACAAAACAAAACTGAACAAAAAAGAACAAAAAGGAAAAAAATGAGAAGTTAAAAAAAAAAAGGAGAGAGAGAAAGAAATCCTTCCCCGGTTTAGTACAAATGTTATGTGTTGCACTCAACCTGCTTAACTGTGCATGTGTGGTCAAGTGTTAATGTCTGTATAGCTCCAAGCTGTTAAAAGTATTTTTATTCAAACTACCTATATAATTCCTGTGTAATTAATGCTGTTGTAGAGGTGAAATGATGAAATCAACTGAATTTGTCCTGCGTGTAGTGAATAGTGAATCTGTGACGAAAACTGTGATTCCAAGCAGTATGTCCTTGCTGTGCCTTTGTATATGACTCTTTGCACGAACTCTTAGAAGTGGCTCTTATTAAGCGCAGCTTCTGTGATGTATGTTTTTTGTGAACAAAGTTACAATTATAGTCAAAGTCTGGCTGTTTGAGCAAACTGTGATCAGCTTTTTTTTTTTTTAATTATTATTATTATTATTTGTTTTTAAAAAAACCTGACTGGAAATCAACAAAAAAAAAAAATAAACTTTCTATTGTAAAGTTTTCGTGACCTGGTTTGTGCAAAGCAAGAAGTTGTGCTTCTAGATTTGCCTCTGAAAAAAAAAAAAAAATAGCCCGTGCAGAGTTTGTACTAATATTTTACCTGGTTCCTGCTGCACGTTGCAAATGGTGGATGCTGCAATTGTCCGCTATCAGTATTTTTAATTGAAAGTTTGACCGTAAGTTCTTCCTTACTGGTTCCTCGCTAGGTGGAAAGCTGCATCGCAGGACCACAATCAACACCCTTTGTGAGTGAATCAATTGTTAGCTGTTTGCTGATGGTTAAAAAAAAAAGTCCAAACCAAAAAACATGTGCTTTGTTAAAACACACTGCTAATGCCAAGGCGTGTTTGCATCACTCTAGAATTTCTCCTGGGTTTCATAAGTATATTTGCAGGATAGCCACGTCTGAACCCTCTGCGTCTATCAGTAACCCTCTCTAACCACATTCCCACTCTTCACCCTTTAAAGATTTTTGGTTTTCTTTGCTACAATTAGTTTGCTATAAACGTAATGTTACTTACCCCATCAGAGCTTGAATGGTTAACTCTTCTGAGCTTCTAAGAGCAACTAAAGATTTGCACATTTACTGACTGGTTACATTGATGCCTTCCCTTAAAAGTTATAAAACAGTAAACTTTATAAGCCCCAGTTCCGGCTATATGACATTTGGGTGCCAAATGAATAGGGTTTTGTCTATGAATTAGATCGTAAAATCATCCATAGCACAGACAGATAGGCTCACTGGCTATAAAAAGTCACGTGGTGCCATTAAAGTAAGTTTTATGGTTTTGGGGAGTTGACATCCAACATTATATACCACATAACATATAATCTCACTGACGCTGGACTTCATTTGACTCTTTTGCAGGCTACGTGTGCCTCCTGGCCATTCAAATTGTCAGGTTTAGGGACAGAAGTATCCAAACCACAAGTTCTCAGTACTATATGAAAAATGGCTCCTTGCAAGTCAAAGGTAAGTTTTGTGCACAAGTTCCTTAAAGTTTATTTGTACAGTGGGGAAGCCGAGGCTCCCGCTCGCTCTCGCTGCCTCTCGCCTTTCTTTCTTTCTCTTTCTCTTTCCCTTCCTTTCCGCCTGGAGCTTTTCAGGACGGTCCCACCGAGCCCGAGAGGCAGGATCAACTACTAATGATCCAGGTTGCGCTGCAAATCCGCCCCCCCCCCCATCCCTTCACTCGCAGCAGCTAGCTCTCTATTTTAACGATCAAATCAAAGTAAACCACAATAAGCGACTTTGGCAGAGATGGATTTTGGGGCCTAGCTTTAATCACTTTGACTACCGCAGAAGATAATTACTTCCTTTGCTCCGATAGACTCTCCAAGTTTGGAGAGGTTTTGTTTAGCAAAGAGTAGTTACTGAAAGCGATTAAAAAAAGGGGGAAACAAAATAGATAGGGCTTGATATTATCTGGGCTGTATCTTATGCAGGCATGATAGAGTTGGAGGCGTGATGATATGGTAATATTCCTTGGATTGGTGAAATATGTTGCACATCAGAGATAGTATTAAAATGGCACAGACTGTACTGGAGTGCTTAGATACATATTTTCTGCACTGGGTTGTGCAGAAAGCTTTAACTACATGTCTGTGTCCATCTGTGAGTGTGTAGTATGTTTTGTGGATGCACATTTATAACATTGCTGTAACTTTTTCCTGACCCTATATACAGTCATATAAATATATTTAAATTACATGCATGTGTGCTTGCATGCACCTATCGGTCTATATGTCTGTGTAAAGATGTGCACATGCATATGTGTGTCTAATATTGGTGTAGTTACATATACAAAGGGTGTGTACGTGTGTATACATATACGTGTCCCTGTGATATTTTGTTTAAAGTAAACCAATTGACTGTAACTTGTAGCATTAATACAAGAGACTACAGGTCATTAGAGTGCTGCAAATTATGAAATACAGGCTTGGTTTATTGAAGATTGTAAATATCCCCCTAGCTCTGCTCTCTCTCTTTTTGCCTTATATTGCTGGCTGCCATTGTGGGGTAGGCCCCAGCTGCGTGTTTACTTCAACATTCTTTTTATTTAAGTGGACTGTTCTCACTAGAGTGTGATTACTCAGCAATAAACTTTATGGCCGGATTTAACTTTAGTCTTTGAATTTCCAGGACTTGAATGAAAGGGTGAAAGGAACTCTATCTTTCTCTGGGTAACATTAAGGCCTGATCCTTATCCTCAGAGCTGTTACTTTGGCGAGTGATCTCAGGGGGGTGCAAACTGACTAGATGGGGGCTAGAGAATTGCCTACAATCTCTCTCTCTCTCTCTCTCTGTGTATATATATATCTCCAAACCAACTGTGGGTATGTCTTTCTCCGCTCACTTATTCCAATGTTTGGAGTAACATTGATTCAGCAGGTTGCATTGTTTTCCTTTATGTGTCATAAAGTTGGGTTTGCAAAAGAACAGGGTGGTTTGATGTGAGAGGTGGGTTTTGTTTTATTTTGCTTGTGCTACTCCACTTGATTATTGTGGTTTAGGCTGATTTTGCTACTGCGAGCAAAAATGAGAGAAAGGCACCGGGGTACAGGAGGGAAAGGTTATTGTGTATCTCTGCAAGGTCTGCACATTGCTGACTGATTCCTATATTGAATTTGTCTTTAACTTTAAAGAAATGGTAGTATATAAGGTAGGTTCATATCAAAGATCTCAGTTTTACAAATATTTAATATTTAAAGTCACCCCTTGTGTAAGATAAATGGAGTCTGAAGCCTTTGTGTCTGTCGATCCTTCCTATGAACACTAAACAAACACATCTGCATATATTTTATATTAAAAAAATGGGAAAGGCCTTAAAAGAACATATCCAAATGCACATTTGAAAATCATTTCCGTTATAAACAGCTGGAGATTTTATAGTACACTAGCTGTCACATTTTCATCAATAAGAATACCAGAAAGTTATATATGATAGGTGTGCATTATATTATACGATATGCCATAAAATTTTATAGTTTGAGGCAATACATGAAAAATCTTTAAAAGTTTGGGTTTCATTTATTTGTGGGTCCTTTTGCTAGGAAAATTCTTTGCTTGTAAACGGGAATGATACTAGACACAAACAGCTCACGACTACTTGGTATTCAACAACACTGCATTATTTGAATTAACTGGTGAATATACAAATGCACATGCACATCCGTTCAACTAATATTTTAGGATGCTGGATACCATAGTGTACTATAACTTTTAATTGTTTAGAGTGAAAAGATTTGCTACTATGTATTTTCCACATTTCTGGTGTGGCTTCTGGAGCATATTCCAGGCAAAGCAATGTACAGAGATTGAAGAACTATGGAGAAGAAAAATATCCCCAAGCCCAGGAGCATACAAATCCGCCCATACTGCAAGAAACAGTAACAACAAAAGAAAGTCAGATAGAAATGACAACTTCACCATATTTCTGGCCCTGCCCTGTCCTAAGAGGCACGGTTGAAACCATTCGAACCCAGAAACGCATAAAGATTTCCTAATCCGCTTTGAAATCTGAAATTCAAACAAGCCCAGACTGCCGAACTCTATGAAAATAGTTCCAGGTCCGAATTGTTTTCTGAGGGAAAATGTCATGGGGAATTGTCGCTGGGAATCAGGAGAGAGGTCTTGACTGCACACGTTGTTTTTCTGCTGTATTTGGGGGATTAATGTGTGGGAATTTGTTCTACCTTAGGCATGGCAAGTTGCGTTCTGTGATTTGAAATATAGCTTAGCTAATCCTTTGAAAGAAATACTTGCGTGTAGTGTCTCATGTCTAAGCGTAAGGCCAATTAAAGACTAGGCAGCTCTCTTAATGTGTGTAACTGGTGACTTTGCAAGACATAACTTTCTCTAAAACAGAAGTATAACAATCCAATGGAAAGTCATCCGTAAATTACAGCTCTACAGCCTTGACTAAACCACGCAAACGCCCTAATTGCAGAACATTACAGGGAAATTATTATTCTACCATTTCCTTACATTTAATAAGTGTGTATCTGTGGAAGGGTGACAATAGAGGGGTTTGCAAACTGCTTCATGGGAAATTGCATGGAACAGATCATGAGGGGCGGATCAGGAGGTTTCGATTTCAAACCCTGAATACTGGAGCAATGTTTTTTTCCCGCCCCGCAAATACAGATTTAAGGCATTAAACGCGGACAATAAGTAAATCTCCTGACCAAGTTAAGATACCACTTCGCTTTCTTAGTTCTTTCTCTTTCCTGCTCTCAAAATCTTTCCGATTTGAGACTAGAGTTGCTAGTCAGAGCACAAAACCACGGCTCCCACAGCCGTCTGATCATCTTTGAAAATATTATCCCCTTCAAATTAAAGCATCCCCACCAGTGTCTCTCTGGAAGGCAGATACTCATGGACCACCCCAGTCACATGTTCCTGTAGCTGCACGCACGAACGATATCAAATCTGACACAGAG